GTGGGACTTTGTTTTTGATGAAAATATCGGTCCTTATTCAAGGGTTAAGAGACTATGCAAGCTGGCAAAAGAAAGCTAACGGACTAGCTCTCCATGCTGCGCTGCTGTTTTGTTTGTTCATTTGAATGACTTGAGTTTTCTGCAGAAGAGGGATGTTTGTGTGTGCTGAATTAGCATTGGTTTGTGCTCCTTAGACCTTAGCTCCTTAGACTCATCCTTAGGATGACTGTGAAAATTGGATGCACTCTTTTAGACTATTGATACATTTTAATAAATGGTATTTATGTAAGCTACCCTGAGAAACTAGATTAGAGTGAGCTATGATAATGCAAACCTTTGGTCTAGGCTTGGAATTAACTTCCTGGGCTGCGTGTGTGCCTGAGTTTTGCTCATATCCACACTGGAGAATGCTTGGGCTGTGTGCATGCGTGAGCGTGCGTGTGCATAGTTCAGGGCTGGTTACTCTTCACGCCAACTTAAATGTAGATGCTCTGCGTGCACAGGACTGTGAAGCTGGGAGAACTGGCACGCAGCAGTAAATGATACTTTCTGAAGAACACAAGGGTGGCTTTAACTCAATGTCTTGTCTAATCTAGTATCTTCTAATAATTGCTGGTAGCAGTGATTTTGTATATGTAATGGAATATGCACATATTTTTGTACACTTGTATCATTATTTTAGCAGGTACTGTTTGGCCTTTATTCCAGGGCTTTGTCTAAACCTTTTCTGAATGCATTTCTGTTCTTAAGATCTAACGCTCAGTGTAGCTAACTGGTAAAGCTGAACTGTTTGTGGTGTGGAGAAGCCCTTCTTTTAGTCTTCTGCTCAGTCTGATCAGCATCATGGATGTGGTCCTTCCTCACTCACCTTTTCCACAGTATCCGTAGCTTCATGTTTCTTGCCCTTTTCCCCACTCTAAGTCTTTCTGGGAATGGAAAGGTTCTAGTTTTAATTGCTGCTTGCCAAACTTGTTACTACTACTGATCACCTTTCTTGGTTAACGCCTTAAGACATTATGTCTTAATTATTAAAGCTGCTTTTCCCCCAAAGGAAGACGCTTTGGTGTGGGAACTTCCATTAACTTCTTTGTGTCAGTGCTCATGTCAGGGACCTTCAGTGTTTTATTAATGTACTTCAGTGCTGCTAGCACTCTGTGATCACATGTTCAGCTTCCTGCGTCCTTAGCAAGCTGTTCCTCAACTAGCTTGGCCAACTTAACAAGTTAATATAAAAACCGTAATAAAGATTATGCTATCTTCCTCAATATGACTATTCTCTATGGAGTGTGACCTTTGCATAGGTCCCTTACTGAGCTGTTCCACAATGCAGTCACCTATGTGGTGTATAGATTACTAGTCTAGCCTGACATAGTCTTCTGCTGACTGCTTGTCCAACATAGGAGGATAGTACCTTTAAGGAGCAAACCAGCAAACAAAGTTCTCCCTCCACTCTTAAATCATTCACCAGCGATCCAAGGTGGCCCACCCCCAGAGGGAGGAATAAGTTAATGCACTCACTCATGACACAGGATGTGCAGAAGGGAGCAAGCTGGCCAAGGATCCAAGCCACAGGAGATGGAATCAGCCAGGCCATGAGTCCCAGATAGAAATTCATGATCTTCTGGTGCTGTCCTAGGTATTTCACTTCCTATGAAGAGTCAGGGAGCCCTTTCAATAACTAGAGGTTATAACCACACAGCTCATACACTATATAGACAAGCCTTCAAACTGTCGTGCAAGCAGAGTCAGCTCTTATAGAGGTGGCTTCTTGCCACACCTCCAAGTTAATGTGGAAGGTGAGGGCACCTGGTGGTGATCTTCTAACCAGTTCCCACCCAAGGATGGCCAGACCTTGGGTGAAAAACCAATCAGGAGGGTCTTTCTTGCCTGGTTATGGACATCACGCATATGCCAACTTGCATGCATATGTAGGTTTAGCCCCAGCACTTCACATAGAGGCTATGGTATAAACTAATGGTAGCCCAAATTAGGAATCACTTCTCATCCTGCCTTCCATCAGTATTTCCATCATGATCCCAGCTGGCTTTGCCTGGGCAGCCCTGCAGCCCTCCTGCTCGGCACTCTCCATCTCGGTAGGAATTTGAAGTGGTTGGAAGCCTGGTGCTTGCAGATGTGCACTGCAGGCTGAGCTTCAGTGTGTCTGGTGCTGTTGGAGAAGGCTGAGATCCTGGC